ACTTGTGTTTTTCTCTCTTTCATTGTCCGATAATTCGAAGGTTCGTTTTCTCTACTGTTAACTGTACTTTTTCCAGTGTTACTCCATCTTCTCAACTGTAAATTTGCGGCTTTTGCAATGGATTTCGTTACTGTTCTGGTTTAATCGAATTGGGTTAGTGTTTGTCTTATTACATCAGATTAGGGATTTGGGTTCTGTTTGATTCTAGGGAAAGTTGTTGGGGTCAATAGAAGAGGATGAATCAAAATACTGAAATAAGTTTCAATCGATTCTAATTCTCTCGAATTTGTTTGATTTATGGCATTTGATCAGCAATCGCATCTCTCTGTTTACTGTTATACTTCCTAAAATTAGCTTCATGATTACTAATTTCTCAGTGTATTTGTAGTAGACTAATGATTACTAACTACACTAATTTTGTCATTCGTAGACTATTTTAATTTTATCTACAATGCTTTTACAAAACTACACTAGTTTCTTATTGTAGTAACACCATTTGATCGTGTGTGAAATGTCATCTTCAATAGGGTTTAAACAGGCATGTCTTCTGATACTGCCAAAGAAAATGCATCTGTTGTTGATTCTTCTTTGACTGATTGGAAGCAAGATTTAGGTAACTCTGATGATCCAGGTAAATTGTGAAGCCATGTCTTTTTATTCGCTTTTTCGTCTTTTTTCTTTTATTCGTATAGATCTGTGTTTTGTTCTGCTTCTCTTGTTGAGTGTTGAAATTTTTCATTGGACAGAGAGTTCAAGTTACAGAAGCAAGGAGGACCATAAACTGTCCAAGGCGGAAGTTGAACGAGGTAACTTTCCTGATCAGCTTGAAACTTCGAACGCGAATAAGAATAATAAACCGGGGTATCAAACGAGATATTTCATCATCAAAAGTCTGAATTATGAGAATATTCAACTTTCGGTTGAGAGAGGGATTTGGGCTACTCAAGTAATGAATGAGCCAATATTGGAAGGTGCTTTTCATGTAAGAACCTCTCCTTTTTAGTTTACAGTCCTATCTTTATTCGTTAGTGTCAAGTTAAACTGACTTTATATTCTTTATGCAGAATTCTGGTCGAGTGGTTTTAATATTCAGTGTGAACATGAGCGGATTCTTCCAAGGGTATGCACAGATGTTGTCTCCTGTGGGTTGGAGGCGAGACCATATATGGAGTCAAGGAGGTGGTAAGAACAATCCTTGGGGACGTAGTTTTAAAGTAAAATGGTTGCGGTTGAGTGAATTGCCTTTTCAAAAAACACTTCATCTCAAGAATCCTCTGAATGATTACAAGCCTGTCAAGATTAGCCGAGATTGCCAGGTATACCTAACGTGTCTTATATTTGCTTCCACCTCCTAGAACTTATGCGTTGGGCTGTCCCAAAACCAGATAATGGCTTTATGAAAATGACTAACTTGAAGTTCTTTAATGTGTGCATTCTCTAGGAATTGCCAGAAGATATCGGTGAAGCACTCTGTGAGCTCCTTGATGCTAATAGCTGTGATGACGGGTTATTGAACAGGTATCTCCTCTAAATCCGAATGGGTTTTTCGTTCTCAGATCCCGTTAGATCTGCTTGTTCTTGATTATATTTCCGCACAGCTCTTCTAGGGATGATTACTCAACGAAAAGGCCTCCCGTAGAACTTCCATCTTCCTCGGGAGACGAAGAATATAATAACAATCTTTGGGGCCATACACCGATGCATTACCCTCCTTCGCTCTACCCAAATCAGGATGACCTCAGTAGATTCCATCATGCACAACATAGAGGATATGGAGGAGCCACGGAATATCTCCATACATCATCAGGTGTATCTAACTCTCGCATGGAGCAAGAAAAGCCTTTACGATTCAACTCATGGGGATTGCCTTCGGATAGCCCGCTCGCGAGTACCCTGACTGATGATGATTTTCTTAACATGGTAGTGGCATATCTGCTTGTAATTTATGCTGAGAATTGCATTCAGTTACAGTCTCTTGTTCGTGAATTAGATATTTTTGTAAATCATGTTGTTAGCTGGATCAAAGATGGTCATGGCACACTACGTACTGGAAACTTGGTGAAAACATTTGTAGTATTATTCAACCTGAGCTATTTCAGTGAGCTCCTTCTGATCCATATTACTTGCATATCTCAGGCCTCAGGGTCTGGCTCAAATTTTGCTCTCTACACTGATGTAACAGGGACTTCCTTCTGTTTCTTGAGAAGCATTATGAGCTCTGGTTTTGTTGTTTACTAATCTTTGACAAAGTCTTGTGATTGTTTTTTGTTGTTCTTGCAGTCTTATGAAGAATACCTTGAAACACACAGCAGATGCATGAAACAACTTGGTCTTCCTGTCAGTATGTTTTATCCATCACTGTTTAACATTTATTCTTGCGTTTTTCGGGTTAAACTTGTGGCTTGGCCTTATATTACTCTTGGGTTTCCTTACTTTCTTTGCAACATTTATAGGTTGTCATGATTCATGTTTTGCCATATTCTCTTGTGGTGCTCATAACTTCACAAGGATCATCATAGGTTGGTTCTTACTCGTAAACCCTCTTTCTCTCTGCAGGTGATTCCACAATCACGAGCCACACAAGAGCCATCAAGTAAAGCAGATGATGTGTAAGCTCACAAAACCTGCTGATGAACTAAAGACAGCTTTATTTTCTCCTGCATTTTCTGAAATTTATCTACCTATCTTTGCCATTTTCTCAGAAGCAATGGTTCTTCAAAAGACCGGCCTTCCTCAAGAAAGAGAGGACGAGATTCATCTTAGGGTTCAACTTCAATCTTGAAACTCTACCATGAAGATAACATCGAAATGCACAAGGATATGTCAGTGCTATTTTGATAGTAGTGATGGAGAAGAAGAAGTTGTCATATTGTAACTCATGCTCATTTGATCTGGGTTTTATAGAAACCAGAATACTGTAACTAAAGTTTCTTCTTTTAATTGCCAAAACTTGTACAGTTACAATTTTAAATCTGGCAAAGCGTAAGCTTTTGGAAACCCTAAATTGGGTTTGGGTTTTAAAGTTGATTTTCCAATTTTTCATGGTACCAAAGTTATATGAAGTCAAAACCTTTTTATATAACCTAAAGAAAAGGAAACTCCTTTTACAAACTTAAGAA